ATATTAATTTGCTTCATTGTCTCTTATTTTCAGTTGAAGGTAGCATGCAGTTATGGTTGCACATTTTTCTTTATAGTCACTAGTCTCTAAAGCATCGTCTACAATACACTCTGACTTTCTGCCTCTCCTTATTTAATAAACGTGACTTAAAATAAGTCATTTTAAATGACCATATATGAAATCTGACATGTTTTTGGTAAACATGTTGTGAATTGTTTAATTTTTTCATTTCTTGGCCTGCTTCACCTGACAAATTTTTTTTTAAGAGCGTTTTTCTTGCCACTGTTTATTAATATCAAGTAAATGTCTGCCATTGGCTTCACTTCTTGTTTGTGAATATATTCAATTCATATATAAGGTTGAATAAGCTTCTTTTTGTGAAAAAAGTACCTTCCTGTTAACATTGTATTTTGGTGATGTTAGTGGATGGTTATATTTTGCAAGATTTTTCTCTTTGTGTGTGTTTTGTACATTATTTTAATTACTGTCAGTTATATATCAATAATATCACCAGAGACAGGCAGTTTTTTAATGGCTATGTTAAACGTTTGAAAAAAATATGAAACAAGTAACTTTTGAAAAACTAAATTTAATTGGAATTAGTGTTACAGATAATCATTATTTTTCATTACTATCTCTTTTATAATAACAGTGAAAGAAATCGATGGAATGGAGACTCTAGAAGCAAGGCAATATAAAGAGTAAACATAACAGCTTTCATCTCTTGATTGTTTCACATTTTATCCATCAATTCATTTGATCTTGGCACACACACCCAAAAACCTATATATCTCATTATTTCAAATTACTTTTTCATCACTTGTAAGATGTTCCTTAAAAAATATTGAACAACATCAATTTAGTATTTTGTCTTTGGAGGTGGTTCTGTAAAGTAATGAGTTTGGATAAAGAATCTATCTCAGATTACAGAGATAAAATGTAAGATATTTTCTGGATATCATAATTTACCAGAATAAGTCTGTAATGAAGACTATAACCATCTCCCTATTTGCTCTAAGTATGTGGAGAACATAATGGTGAAAAATTTGTCACTTGTTGGCATAAAATCAATAACCTGACTTTCAGAGCTTAGATAACACAGATTCCAAGGGTCAGCTGCATCTCTCAATTGTTATGCTTTGTGGAATCATAGGAATTCCAGATGTTCTTTTCTCTTGGGTGCTGATTAATTGGGTTTTATGTAGCAAGGCTTAAAAACCTCAATATATTGATGAACATTTTATTCAGAATAAATGGAACAGACTTTTTTTTTTTTAAAGAAGCATTTATCTTGGCTGATGTGGCTCAGTGATTGAATATCGACCTATAAACCAGAGGTCATAGCTCGATGCCTGGTCGGGGCACATGCCTAAGTTGTGGGCTCAATCCCCAATCCGGGGCATGCAGGAGGCAGCCGATCAAGATTCTCTTCATTGATGTTTTGATATCTCTTCCTCTTCCCTTTCTCTCTGAAATCAATAAAAATATATTTTAAAAAGCATTAAATGACTGCATTTATGACCTATTGAACTCTAAATTGTATTTTTGTTCCCTATACTAATCAACTTTCTCCATTGATTAAAAACCTGATTATCGGTAACTTAAGCAGAAAAGGGATTTATTGATATTTGAAAGATGTTGTATAATTCAGGGTTGATGAGAAAGATGGAAAAGTAGGTTCAGATAATAAGAAGGAACCAAAATTTGTCTGTGTTCATATCATAGGAAAAGACTGATTCTGTTTCTATGAGTAAGTTGTTCCTGTGTCTGCATTACTGCCTCAAAGTTGAAATTCCTTTGTGGAAGTATCCCATTGATAGCCTAGATAAGCAGTTCTCTTGTTTCTAGATTTCACAGGTCTATGAGTTCAAACTACTTTTGTAATTTTAAAAAAAATATATTTTATTGATTTTTCACAGAGAGAAAAGGAGAGAGATAGAGAGCTAGAAACATCGATGAGAGAGAAACATCGACCAGCTGCCTCTTGCACACCCCCTACCACCCTACCGGGGATGTGCCCGCAACCAAGGTACATGCCCTTGACCGGAATCGAACCTGGGACCGATGCTCTACCACTGAGCCAAACTGGCTTTGGCTTTATAATATTTTTTAAGTATTATTTGCCCTTTTCACTGTGTTGGCATTTGCACTTGATGATACAAAGGAAATGGTGGGTAAAAGTGTTGGTGCCTTATCATGAATCAAGGCAGTGCCACATACACACATGCATTCTCTAGATATTTTAATTTTGCATATTTTCTGGAGCTCCATTTGTTCACTTAGCCAGAAATCACTGGGTATCTTCTGAGCTGTTTTATTGGAAGGCTGATAGCATGATGTGAGAACGTTGTTACTGGAACCAGATTGTTTGGGTGTGAATCCTCCCTTCCCCACCTACTAGCTGTGAGTTGTTAGGCAGCACTTAATCTCTTTAAGCTCCAGTTAACTCTTCTATAAAATGGGGATAGTAAGAGTACTTCCTTATAGACATGTGAGGATTGAATAAGTTAATAGAAATAAGTCACTTAAGATAATGCATGCCTTTCAGTAAACAATAAGTGTTAATCTTCACAATCATTATTATCATTATAAACTTTTCATATTTGGTCTCTGACAAGCTGGTCATAGGAGAGAGGCCAATAGATGTAAATCTGAGCTGTCTGGTTCTTGTAGAGCTGGATTACAAACTAATCAGGTCAAGTTATTGATCTGTATGCATGAAATGTGACTGGTTTCAGATTAACATAAAATGTAAGCTTTTCCCTTATACCTTCTACTAATTTTATGTTAGCCTGGGCTGATGTAGAACAAAATAAATGAATAAATTGCAAACAAACATTCAAGGATAAAACTTAGTTAAGAATATATTGCATTTAGTTTGATAGTGTATGTTTTTTTGTATATAAGTGCAAACAATGGTCTTTTTGTTGTGTACACAAAAGCTATAAAATAATATACTTGTATAATAGTCTTGTTTATTAGTCATTATCTGACAAATACAGATTACATTGTTTCCATTAATATTTGGGTTGTTTTTTTTCCCCCCACGGCAGGGCTGTGATATTAGTTTTTAGCTCCAGTTGATAGCACAGTGCCTAAAATGGCATAGGCTCATAGCAGGTATTTGCTAGATAAGTAATATATTTTCATATAGAAGAGTCATATTTTCTACTCTGCTAAAAAATTATTCTTAACAGAGTATGCTTTCTGGTGACTATTCTATATAATATAAGCCTAATATGCTAAGTATTTTGTTGTTCGGACAACCATCAAAGCATATATGCTAATAATATGTTAAGGCCACTCAACCATTCGCTCTAATGTGCACTGACCACTAGGGGACAGACAGTCGACCAGTCGCTGTGATCTGCACTGACCACCAGGAAGCAAATGCTCCAGCTGGTAGGTTAGCTTACTGCTGTAGTTTAGCCAATTGGGACTGAGCAAGATGGGCCGGATACACCCTGGAGCCCTCTCACCTCCTGCATCCCTCCCTGGCCCCGATTGTGCACTGGTAGGGTCCCTTGTCCTGGCCTGCATCTTCTTGCAGTCGGGACCCCTTGGGAGATGTTGGAGAGCCGGTTTTGGCTGATCCCACAGCCAGGCTGAGGGACCCCACTGGTGTACAAATTCGTGCACCTGGCCTCTAGTAATTAAAAATACTCTTTTGCACATTTGACAGTTGCTAAGAGAGTAAATCTTAAATGTCCTCAGTACAGGAAAATACATTTCTGTAGCTCTGTATGTGATAGATGTTAAGTAGACTTATTGTAGTGATCACTTTGCACTATATACAAATATTAAATCAATATATTGTACACCTAAAACTAATATAATGTTATATGTCAATTACATCTCAGTTAAAAAAAGAGGTTAAAATATTTTAAAAAGAGAACACATATTTTTACTAAATATAATGCAATTTCATGATTTGTTCCAAAGAACTGTTACTATATGTTATAATGGTGGGTGGGTGTGAGGTGGAAATGGGAAGGAGGGATAAAATATGATGGAGAATACTCTCTCAGACATGAAATTAAATTTAGATGGATAATATAGTGGAATGTTTGATTTTCCTATTTTGTTTTAAAGGTCCCGCTCGCCTTGAAATCCTTTTTTGGTAGTAAACAGAGCTGGCCAAGCCTTCAGATGCCTGCCATGCTAAAGCTCCCTTTTAAGGGAAACTGTCTTGTTCCTTAGCTCTTGTTGGATGGATGGCGACTCTTTGTATTTAGCCATAACCCCTGGTTGTGGCCAAGTGGACACTAGAAAACCATACCAGGAACACTGACTTATGACTTGGTACAAAGAGATCTACTAGGCTAATCATATTTTCCCCTAGATTATTAAAAAATACAAAATGAGGAAACCTGGAGATACTTTAGAGTGGAGGGCAAAAATTGAAACAGTGCATAAAGGAATATCTTGAGGTAAACATGAGGGAAAGATGTGTTACTTTCTATTGTAGAGAAAAAAATATGAGAAATCCAAGAAAGCCATTTAATAGTGAAACTTAAAGAATTGTGTATTTGGAATTAAGTTATATAATTAATTATGAGACCAGTAGTAAGATGACTATTTGATTGATTCATTTTTTCCCCCAACAGATTAGTTTATTGAGTTACTACAATGTACCAGACACTATTTAGTCCAAGAGGTTTGCTCTGAAAAAACAGAGAAGCCAGTGATTCTCAACTGGCTGTAACTTTGCCTGCCAGAGAATGTTCAACAGTGTTTAGAGACATTTTGGTAGTCATAACCTAAAACAGGCAGTGCTCTTGGTATGTTAGTGAATAGAGAATGCTGCTAAATATCATACAATGCACAAGACAGCTTCTTACAGAAAACAATAAAAGATCCGACCAAAATACATGTCATGTTGAGATTTGGAAATCCTGGTATAAGCCATCATAAGTATATATTTCATGGAGTAATTACCGTCATGTGGTTGATATTTAACTTTCTGTGTTTTCAGACGTGAGGAAGTTGACTGGAGTGCAATGGAGGCCTCAGTAATATTACCCATTCTGAAGAAAAAACTGGCCTTCCTTTCAGGTATGTCTTCCTTCTTTAAAGTTGGAAGTGTTTGATGTTTGAACTTGTTTAAACTTTTTTTTTAAGTTTGACAGAAATGCACTTCATTTTCCTGAGATTTTTGTTTCAGAGGTCTTCCTGAGGCATCTTTTAATCAGAATGGATAGCCATGAAAGCCAAGTCTGTCACTGTTGTTTCTTGGCAGGCCAATTTTTATCTGTTCTGTAATTTGGTAAAATGATCTCCACAGGGTAGATGTCATGATGTCTCACTTCTTACATGAAAATAAAATAATTGATACAGTCTAAGAATAATTGACTAAATACATCTAAATAATTGTTTCTAATACATAGAGTAATTAGTTTTTATGATACCCTGCATTCTAGCTTATCTTCCATCTTTCTGTGAGAAGGTTTCAGTGTGCTGAGAGGATTGTGAAATATCAGTCATATAGCTTTCACTTTTGGCTGTGTGAACTTGGCTATACAAGCTTGGTTTACCTTCAGTTATTAGTGCAAAGTCTATATCAGCTATTATAAGAAGAGTCAGAGAGGAACTGCAAGATATTTTATCAGTGTAAGAGCAGTGGTGGGTACATTGGATGTAGTGATTTTTCTGGAATTCTGGATCACTGAGTAAATTAGCACATGCTTTAGAACAGCTACTGTGGCCAACCTGTTTAGGGTTATTTTATTATGTTATCTCGATTTTTCTTCCTTACTCTTTAGATCCTATCAGAATTTTCTTGATATTTAGACTATTAATGTCTTTTTTCCCCCAAAGCATATTGTAGCTCTCTGTAAATTGACATGTCTTTCTAGGGTAGTATAATAGACAAAAAAGGTATTGTCTTATTAGTGTTATTGTTTATTTATTAACGTGCATTTCCTTTTTATGAAGAATCCTCTTCCCTTACCAGTTGACACATTTTCCCATTTTTTTCTGATATGAATGGTGTTGTAGGAAACATTTTTATTCATAGTTTGTTCATGTTGTACAAGTTCTGTAATATGTATTTCTATAAGTGGGCCTGTAAAAGAAAATTTACTTTTAAATTTGTGTGACGTTTTGTCAGATTGCTCTCTAACAATATTGTTTCAAAATGCCTGTTTGCCTACACTATTGCCAAGAGTAGATATTATTATTCTTTTATAGTCTTTATCTTTGATATTTTGCTTCCTTATGACACTCATCTCTGAGCAGCATTTGACTGTTGACCTTACCTATCTTGAAAGTCTTTTCCTGCCAGCTTCTGCCCTCTTTTGTGTTTGTACCAGTGATTGTTTTATTGTTTGATAGTGCAAGCTGAGGGTGTAAGGTTAACTAGAATGTGAGACCTGTCCCCTGAAGACAATTCCACAGTGGGTCAGCATACTACAGGCCAGATGTGATAACCATTTTTTTGATACCCTGCATCCTAACTTGTCTTCCATCTTATTAATGAAGAGATAAAGATTAAAATTTTTTGAGGAGAAAATGAAACATTTCTTAGACTACCACTCTTGATTTTTCTCCATTGGCCATTAATTATTTTAACCATTAAATTAACACTTAATTTTTTAACTTGTTTAAAAGTAGAGAAAACTTTTTAAACCAAAATCATTCAGGGAACAGAGTTAGAAAACTATGGGTGCAATCTGTTTTTTTTTTTTTTTTTTTAATCTTACACTCTAAACAAAACAAACAAACCAAACGTGCAATTGAAAGTCTCAATTTATTATCTGTTAAGTTGAATCACTTGATTACCATTTATTGAGGTTAAATAAAATGGTTGAATATCAATAATTTTTATGGTTAATCTAATAAAAGGATCCTTTATGGTTGGTACATCAAGAATTGCATTTATATTGCCGAAATCGTTTTGGCTCAGTGAATAGAGTGTCAGCCTGTGGATTGAAGGGTCCAGGGTTTGATTCTGGTCAAGGGCATGTACTATGGTTGTGGGCACATCCCCAGTAGGGGACATGCAAGAGGCAGCTGATCGATGACTATCTCATCGATGTTTCTAACTATCTCTCTCCCTTCCTCTCTGTAAAAAATCAATAAAATATATTTTATAAAAGAGAAAAAAAATTGCATTTATGCCACTCATAGCAGTTAACTTGTTTACACCTTTTAGATCAGGGGTGGGGAATGTCCAGCTGATGGGCCATATAAGGCCCGTGAAATCATTTGGTTTGGGCCTGCCAAGGCATTGGGGGAGTTAATTAAATGTTTACCAAATATAGCAGGCTAATTTTTAAGTAGATAATTTGGTATGACCTATAATGATGTTATAAATATACAAATTGCCTTTGGCAGAAATAAGGTTCCCACTCCAGTTTTAGATAATACAGAATTGTTTCCTTTAGAATCTGCTGGTTTTTAGGCTGCTAAAATGGCCACACAACTGTCACTTGCATCAAAAGATGGGCTTTAGAGTGCAAAGTCAGTCATATGGGGAACTTTCAAAGAAGCTCTGTGTGTATAAAAGTATTAGTTACATTCTATTGCTAATGGAAAATTGATAGGAGTTGAACAAACGTGAAATGTAAGTTTCACACCTGGCTTTCAGGCTTCTATATCCAGGTGCCATACACTCTTCTCCGCTGGGCAGGACTTTCTCTTTAATGCCTCATGAACAAAGAATGTCTAGCTGACCTTTGTGTGTTAGCTCATATCAGTCCTCATCACAGAATGCTCTTTTGGCTTTGTTTATAAATTCTATCATTTTCTCCTTTTTTTTTCCTCAATATATTTTTATTGATTCAGAGGAAGGAAGAGGGAGAGAGAGATAGAAACATCCATGATGAGAGAAAATCATGGATGGGCTTCCTCCTGCAAGTCCCCTACTGGGGATCGAACCCACAACCTGGACATGTGCCCTAGACCAGAATCAAACCTGGGACCTTTCAGTTCGCAGGCTGGCACTATCCACTGAGCAAAACCAGCTAGGGCTTCTCCATTTCTTTAATTCTTTTTATAACACAACCTAGCAAATAAACTGTCACATTTCATATCATTATTTCTTATGACTCAAAGCTTTTCTTAGGTTGGTTTAATTTTACTTGTAAATGCTTATTGTGCTGGGCTCACAATAGGTGTTTGATGAGTTGATTAAATTAAGAAGCAGACTAGAAAGAAGAAAATTAAACTGATAATTGCTATGTGTAAGTGAAAATTTCATGGGTGAATTTTTTCCTCTTATTTCCCCCCCCTAAATTTTATATAATTTATGGGCATTTACAGTAAATAAAATAAATAGCCACTAGGTAGTTTTTACCGGTATCTTAAACTTGTAATTATTTTAGTAGCATTGAACCCGAATATATATTACTTGTTCAGTGCTTTAATATCTACTACATGTTAAATTTACGCCCCCCCCCTTTTTTTTTTTTAACAGGAGGAAAGGACAGACGAAGTGGCCTCATTCTGACAATTCCATTATGCTTGGAACAGACAAATATGGATGAGCTGAGTGTCACCTTAGACTATCTACTCAGCATTCCAAGGTGACTCTTAAGGTGTCTTTTCTTAAATCTCAGTATGTCTTCATTCAATTACTAATGATTTTTGCTATTGTCAAAATATACTTTGCTAACTTATCTGCTTTTATTAGCAATGAAATTATAATTAAAAATACTAGAATCTGTAATTTATGATACCATAACAGATAAAATACTCTTTTTTATGCTCTTCAGGCACTGAATAATATACAGATTTCCAAAATGTATGTATTAAGGAACATGAAGATTGAGTATTTATTTATCATGCAACTTGAGGAAACTTAGAGGAAGGGGTGGAATAGAAAGTATCTTTTATTTAGTTATGTATTTCACTGTATAGATATAAGTACATCTGCATATTTTAATTTATTGAGTGAAGACTATTAGGAGTTTAAAATATTCTTGTTTTAAAAAATGCAAAAATATTTACATTTTAATCCAAAGGTCTTGGATTTTTAATTTTTATATTTCTTGGGTGAAGACAAAACATATACTTTTCTGTTTGGGTGAACAAAGCAGACCAAGATCCCACCCTTATCAGTCTTATGCCTTAATGGTCAAACTAATATTACAAATAGATACATAGCATATGTATCAGGAATTTCCTCCTTCCCTGATCCCACAGGCAGTCTATTCTTCATTTCAACAACAAGGAAAACAAAAAAACTCCCCAACTTTTCCCCCCCATCGGTGATATTTGGGGGCTGAAGTCTCGTGATTTAGGCCTCCCAAAAACAATTGGATCAGAATCTCTGAGGTTGACTCTCAGGCATTAGAATTTGAAAAATGTCTCCAGGTTATTCCTGATTCTGTGGTGCTCCAACAGGTATAGAAGTTACCTTTCTATTTTTCTCAAATTTTGCATTTTTAAAAAATTCAAATTTAAGATTTTAAATTGGTTCTTCCTAGTTGTAGAAAACTCTATGTTACAGAAGAAACATCAGAGCACAAGGGTTTAATGACTTGCCAAAAATTACACAGACATTAAGGTCATAAGTCTTCAGTCACTCAGTAAATACATGAGGTCCTACAATGAGCTCCTCATTTTTCTAAGTACTGAGGAGATGGGTGAACAAAGCAGACCAAGATCCCACCCTTATCAGTCTTATGCCTTAATGGTCAAACTAATATTACAAATAGATACATAGCATATTAGATGTTCATGAAGGCTATGAACACTAGAGTTAAGAGAGAGATGGCTTGGGAAGGGTAGGTGAGTCAGTATTTTACAAAATGGTAAGATTTTATCGGATGTGATTGAATTGAGGAAAAGGACCTATAAATGTTTGATGAAAAAGCATTAAGAAAGAACATTTAAGACAGAGGGAACAGTAAGTGCAAAGGCCCTGAGGCAGAAGCAGGCTTAGCATGTGAGACCAGTAAGGTGGCTGGAGCAGCTTGAGAGAGGGACAGAGTTCTGGAAGAGTGATTAGAGAGAGAGACTGGAGTCAGAACATAGAGGACCTTGCAGGCCATTAAGTTCTGAATTGGAAGGAAAGCCATTGCTGCATTCTGACTGAGGAGTGATTTGATTGAATCATGTTACATTTTTAAAGGGCCTCTGTATTTAAAGCACTGTGCTGGGAGCTGCCAAGATCAGTAAGATAATATTCTTGCTTTTTGGGCCCATGTTGTCTAGTGAAGATAAATTATAAACAATGATTATAATAAAAGAATGAGTGAAATTAGTGCCATTATGTACATATAAGCAGAGCTCTGTGAGTGGAGGAGAAGGAGCCCTTCGTTGTAATCAGAGAAATTACAAGAGCTATCCAACACTGAGCTCAGGAAACCCTGGCACATAGAGTGAGTGAACTTGTTGAGGAGTCTCTTCTCTTTTACTGCCTGTTTAACGGAGTCACCTCGCCCTCGAAAGGCTCTTAACAGAGTAGGAATAAGGAGGCAGGGTTTTAATAGTTTGTTGTTGTTATTGTTCTTAAAATATAAACATGTAAATGGTAGCATAAGAATTTGTTAGTATAGCACTTCAGCTCCTCCAACATGCCATTTATAAAGTACATAACATGCTTCTAAATTATGTATGTTGTTAAAAACAGTTTAAACTGTCACTTCACTTGTAGGAATAAGTTAAAAAAAAACAACCACCAAAAAAAAAAACACCTCTCCCTTTAAATAGATGAAATAGTGTCTTTGGATTATGTGTGTTTTCATTATCTATTTCATTAAAATGTGAGAAAATTATGATTAAGGGTGCTTTTAAGTACCTCAAGAGATTAATTTAGAGTATTTCATCTCCTTAAGATCACTGCAGATGGTATTTGCAAGCTTCATTACTTTCTTTGTCTTAATATACAGATTAATTTAGAATATGCTTTGAAATTTAAAAGCCTGTGTAAAACTTCTTAACAAAATAGGTTGTGTAACCTGTTCCTGAGACAAGCAGATGCCAGTGAGGAGAAAATACCAAATTATGGGAGTGGCTCACTTCTCGTGGCTCTGGTACCCATCAGGAAAGGCTCTCTACTAGGCAGTCTGTGTTTTAGCTCTCCCTCCTGCAAATTCCCATAAAGCACTGGAAGTCCCTGACTTGCCACGTATATAAAAACCACTCAGTAGCCAGTTACCCTCCCCAGCTGATCTCTCTTGGGCTTTTGTCCTCTCTGAGTCACAGCAGCCTTCCTAGATGTCTTGTTGGTAGGGAACTCAGGAATTTCCTCCTTCCCTGATCCCACAGGCAGCCATTAGATGCCAGGTTTGCTTTCCCCAGTAAGTCTTTAGGCATTGTTGCTAATCCAGAAGGGCTTATTCTATTGCCTCAACTTCTTGCTACCCCACCCAACAATACTAGTAGGTCCTCTATTTTGTAATACAAAATCCAAAACTAGAACATTTCAGCATTTGAGATATATCATTATTGAGATATAATTCAGATACCATGAAATTCACATACCCTTTAAAAGTGTACCATTCAGCAGGTATATTCACAAGGTGGGTGTGACCATCACACTGTAATTACAGAACATTTTTATCAGCCTAAAAAGAAACCTTATACCCATTAGCAGGAACTCCCCTTTCCCTCCTTCCAGCCTCTGATGACCACTTATCTGCTATCTTCTGTCTCTGTGGGTTTACCCATTTTGGATATTTTATATAAATGGAACCATATTATAACATACGGAATTTTGTGTCTGTCTTCTTTTCTAGGTTTATCTATGCTATTTAGCATGTGTCAGTACTTTTTTTTTTTTTGGTTGAATAGTATTTCATTATATGGATTATCACATTTTGTTTTTCCAATTTATCAATTGAAGGACATTTGGGTTATTTCTGCTTTTAGCTATTTTGAATTATGCTACTATGAACATTTGTGTGCAAGTTTTTTTTATGATCACTAGAGGCCTGGTGCATGAATTCGTGCACAGGTGGGGGTCCCTCAGGGTGGCCTCCAGGGATTGGGCCAAAACCCACAATCCAATGCTGCCTGCAGTTCCTACCTGCCACTCCCGCTCATCCCGGCCCCACTGTGCCTGCTGCAGGCTCATGCCCAATCAGTCCCAATTGGGAGATGCTCGTGCTGCCAGAGCAGTGCTCACCAGTCATGAGCCCTGCATCTGGCGCCCTACAAGGGGAATGGCCTGCGGTTTCGGGCTAAAACCAGCTCTCCAGCATCCCCTGAGGGGTCCTGGATTGCGAGAAGGTGCAGGCCAGGCTGAGGGACCCCACCAGTGCACGCACTATCTGGTCCGGGAGGAACTGCTGGAGGGCTCCAGGGCGTATCCAGCTCACCTTGCTCAGTCCAAGCTAACCTACCAGTCAGAGTATTGGCCCCCTGGTGGTCAGTGCACATCATAGCAAGTGGTTGAGCAGCCTTAGCATATCATTAGTATATTACTCTTTGATTAATTGGTTGTTCTGCCATTTTGTCTATTTGCATATTAACCTTTTATTATATAGAATATTATATAGGATATGATTCAATTTGTTTCACTTGTTGCATACTTCTCTTTTTTTGGAAGCTCAGGTTCTGTTCCTGCCTTTAACAATATCATTCTTATGATCTTACTGTTTTTCATTAGAATTGGACATCACTTCTCCAAAAACCCTCTTGAGGCTAATGTGAATTCTTAGAGGGATTAAGTGAGGATTAGCAAAATCCCCTCACTGTTGGATTTAAATCTCAAGAGAGGGTCTGCTGTTGACCTTTCCTGTAATATACACAATTGGGAGAACTTTGAGTGGGGAGAGGTTTCACTATAAATCCTTGCTCTGCTAAGCAAAGCTGTAGTTTCTTCCACTGTATTGGAGGAAGGGTAATTGAGATCCCTGCATCCAATTGATTTTATAAGTAAAATAAGAACAACAACAACAATAATAATAGAGCTATGTGGCTTGGTTTTAGAATGGAGTTTTTTTTTTTCATATAGTTGCATTTTACTAGGGTAGGCTTTTGGAAAGGGTAAGTCCTTGAGTAATGGATAATATATAGCAATAACACATTTTCCAACACACAACATAATATTTTGCTGGTCAGTGATGGAGAGTGCAAAAGTGAGAGCAAAGGTGGGTTAGAGATGCTATATTCAAGCTTTGGATTACTGTGCACACTACCTAATCTCATTACTTTTCTCCAAAAGATCACAAAGAGGCCCTTTTCCAATGGTTCAGTAATAGTTTACTTTATTTCCTACCTGTTTTACAGTCTCACTTTACAAACCTTATACTTCAGACAGAAAGAAGAGATGAGAATTATGTGTTCACTTGGCAGTCATTAGTTACTTACTTCACTGTGATCCCATTTTATAGATTAAGAAATTAAGAGACCAGTGAGACTATTTGAAGATTACTTTAATTTCTTCTTTTTAAGAAAGTGACTTTCTATGCTTTTAAAGTAATTTTCTTGCCAAATTAGCTTGTAAATATTCATTATTTCCTGAAACGAGAAAAACAAATTGCTTGAGAAAACTCATATGATATACTGTGTTGACAATGTAAACCAAACCAAGTGACATTAATGCTGCTCCATATACAATTATGATGTGAACTTTATTTAGAATTGTGAAGAATAAAATATGAAGTTTAATATTTTGTAGTTTTGTTTCATTTCAGTGAAAAGTGTAAGGCTAGAGGATTTACCGTGATTGTGGATGGCAGAAAATCACAGTGGAATGTGGTGAAAACGGTAGTCTTAATGCTACAGGTAATTTTATTTTTGGCTTTCAAAACATGGTTTTATTTTACAGCAGCAGATATGGTGATAATGGCCAATGCATTTCATTTATAGGACTATGCCCAGGCTTCTTAGCAGTTACTGAGTTCTGAAATGCACAGCTAACTATTGGTTTGATACATTAAATTCAATTCTTGTAGGTTTGGCTTTGAAGAGTAAAATAAATGCCAGCCCTATTCTGAAGGTTTGTAAATGATCAAAAATAATATCATGTTTAAGTAATTTAAGAAATAGGCCAGTCAGGGTAAAAGTGTGAGGGGAGACATTATCATATTCACCTGGGAGCCTTTGCGGACTGTAATATCTGCGTCATCTCTACTCTACCCCATTCTGATACTAGAGTAGAGAGTAAGAGTATGTAATTCTATTCTGCAAAAGCTTCTTGGGTGGTTTGATAAGTGTCTCCCTTCTGTCTTCCCCCCACCCTCTTTTCCTCCACAATGCACCAGGAATCAAGATGGTCTATTCCTTTCTAATCCAGAAGAACTGTACCTAACAGCTGTATCCCCAGCGACTCTAGAAGCTCACAAATTAGCATTTGATGAACAGCTGCAATTATACAGGCCCCAGTCTGATTCTAGTCTTGTGTTTTATAGTCTTGTGCTCCTCACAGAATACATATAATACATGGTCCCTTGCATATAAGTAGGAACTCAGTAAACATTTGTTGATGTATTATAAGTGTGTTGAGGATACTATGATCAGAAATGGAAAAATAAAACCTATACTAATAAAAAGCCTATGATTGTGACACTACATGACCAAATGAGCATCCAGGTGGGCCGGGTGGGGCAGCGAGCTACTAGCGGAGGAGACCTTAGAGCGGAGGAGGGTGGACCGGTGAGCTAGGAGTGGAGGGCCAGGGCCAGGCGTAAGCTACTAGCGAATCTCCCAGAGGCGGAGGGCGGGTGTGAGCTACAAGCGGTGATGGGTGGGGGCCAGCTTAGGTAAGTGGAAGTGAACTATGCTGAGCCTCTAGTATTTGAATAATTGAAAGGGCCAGATTGCTCTTACGTGGGTTTCCTCAAAAGGGCTTCTAGAGAAGGTAAAAATTAAGTGAGTGAAATATAAGAGATTGTATAATTTAAACAAAAGAGAGTGAAAAGAGCATTTTTGGCAGAACACTGACTTTAGAGACAGCTCAAAAATGAAGGGAGTTGAAGGCAGGCCAGTGTGGGGGAAATAAAAGTTGGCCGTTACATGGGATAGTGAACATTCACTTAGGTAAATATCAGTGATATTTAAAGCTAGATCAAGAATTTTAAATGAACTAGGAAATAATTGGTAGCTGCTTCAGGATTTTGTAGAAAGGAGTATAATTAAAAAATTAATTAAGGAGAATGACTCAATGTTACATCTTTTATTTGGGATAATTAGGAAAAGAGATTCAAGGTGTGGAAACTGGTAATTTATTTTTCAGTTTTAGTGCTTAATAGAGTTTGAGTACTATACTGAGCTTGCTATATAAATTATCTCATTGAATTTTATTCTTAGAGCCTTGGGAAGCAGGTTCTATTATCCACAAAAGTGAACTGAGGTTCAAGGATTTTAAATAACTTAGTGAGATTCTTGTAGGGAAAATGGGAAGGAGCCAAGATTGAAATTATCATGTCCTAAGCATGGTCTTAACTTTATCTTTTACAAAGTTTATATTTTCTAGGTGATAAATCTGAGATGGTCCCCAAATTATCTACCCATTTCCTTATTGTTAACTGTTTGGCTTAAATCTTCATATTAGAATCACTCCTTTGGCCCTGGCCAGGTAGCTCAGTTGTATAGAGCATTGTCCTGATAGGCCAAAGTTGTGGTTTCTGCCCCCAGTCAGGGCACATTCAAGAATCAAACAATGAATGCATAAATACGCGGACCAGCAAAAATTGCTGTTTCTTACTTTTTTCCTTCCTTTCTCTCTAAAATTAATAAATAAAAATTTGGAAAAGTAAAGAAGAATCACTCAATTTGATTGAAAAAAACAACAACACATAGCCAAAACCGGTTTGGTTCAGTGGATAGAGCATCAAACCTGCGGACTGATGAGGGGTCCTGAGTTCGATTCCGGTCAAGGGCATGTACCTTAGTTGCGAACACATCCCCAGTGGGGGGTGTGCAAGAGGCAGCTGGTCGATGATTCTCCCTCATCGATGTTTCTAATTCTCTATCCCTCTCTCTTCCTCTCTGTAAAAAAAATCAGTAAAATATTTTTTAAAAAAGAAAAAAACATATAGCCTTCTGAGGATCAGTTTTCAACAGAGCACAGACTAGTGTTCTGTCATTACTTTTTCTGTCAAATATGTTTCCAGTACTGTTATATTCCAAACACGAAGATTAACTCTTCTCTGTCAAAGTTGTTAAAATAACTATTAAGTGAGAAATCCATTAATTACGACCTGTATTCTTCCTTTCATCCCATTATTTAACTGTGTCACAAATGCACGGGAACTTGCTGTCTGAAGTGGACTTTGATCAGTGGCAGTTTTTAAGAACAATCAGTGGATGATTTAATCCCTTTTTTGATTTCTAATAGGTATTTTAACAACTTTTGGATTTATAAATACTTAACATTTTCAGAAATTGCAGTGGCCTGTTGTTTGCTCCTAGTCAGACATTTTCTACATGCAAAGTCTCTCATTGCTTTTATTTCAAAAGGTACTGGTATCAGTTGATTGGGAGCCCAGAACTTAGTGCTCGCTCTGCAGATGGGTGGCTTGGTTTCTCTTGTTTCTCACAGCTTTAATATTTAATGATTTTGAAATAATATCTTTCACAAGTCATATGAATAAGCCTTAATCTACCTTGAACTTCCTTGTCCCTCTGGTAAAAGTTTTGATTTGATTTTTAATAAAATGGAAATTAATAAAATCTTTTACTTAGTTTATTCATAGCCCAGTCATTACAGGGAACAGTAGGTTTGTGATGTGCCCATTGCCATGTTTTAAGTAGGAAGGTCTTCTATCATTCCCTAATTAATAATAACATTGTATTATTATGTTATCATCAATCCGTTATACCACTTATGGTAGAGAATATAAATTTATGGTTGTTGGTCCCTGGAGTTTGTAAAAGAAGTTTTATTGGAACTCAACCACACTCATTTGTTTATATATTTGCTTATGGCTTCTTCTATACTACAGGGACAGAATTTTAAATAATTGCAACATAGGTATATTGCATGCAAAGCCTAAAATATTTATTATCTGGCCTTTCAGAAAGAATTTACTCTGATCTCTAGTCTAGAACATTTGAAATGGTGTGGTAGAACTTTAGAGTCAGGCAGGCCTAGTTTCTATTACAGTGCCATCACTTTTTATTTTGGATAAATTATTATACTTTAGTTCTCTGAAGCTCAATTTATTCTTCTGTAAAGTTGAAGGATGAAAGCCACTTGTTAATGCAAATTCATTTATGCAATAAATATACTGTATATATGGAGAGTCCTCTATAAGCCGGCACATAGGAGTGACATGATAGATAAGGTACCTGTCATTGGGCAGCTTATGTTCTACTGGAAGGTTAGATAATAAAGAGGAAAATTACTAAATAATGAAACACCAGATAGTGGTAAATACTAGGAAGAAAAATACAGTGGTAAAAGGAGACTGAGCCAATGTTAGGTAGGGTGATTAGTGAAGAGGGAATATTTCAGTAGAACCCTATGTTCTTTGTCTCATACTGGGAGCATTCCTGTATGAGACAAAGAACATTCCAGCCAGGAAATGTCAAGGCAAAAGCCCTGAGGCGGGAACAGACTTCTTACATTCCTGGAGCAGCAAGGCCATCTGTAACTGGTGAGGAGTGAGCTGAGGAGAAAGGTATGAGATGAGGTCTGAGAGGTCACTGGCCCTGGAGGGCCTTCTAGACCTGGGTAAGGGGCTGAGTGTTATTCTGATTAGAGGAAACATGAAGCAGGGAGGTCTGTTCAGAGAATATCTCAAAAGGCTGACTAGTTTGGGATATTAGCAATGTAGGTCATAAAAACGGGCAAATTTAAGATATGTATAAGGAGCTTGCTGATAAAGTATACATGGGATATTTATACATGGATAAATGTTCATTTCCATTTTTAGGTCATATGAATAACCGTATCTATTAAATGTGAAATTGTATTAATCAAAGATTAGCTTTGTCCTCATTAAGTTAATAATCATGCAGAATCTTGGCTTTTTGTATAGTGACCTATAAGAAACTTATTTTGTGAGAAAATTGATTTTACATTATTTGAAGAATTTCTCCAAGAAAATTGGATTAGAAAAAAGAAATTTTATAATTTTTCAGCTAAAATTGTCTTGCAGTTTATATCTATACATATTCCTGTTTGAGAGCTTCAGTAAAACAAAAACAATCAACTTGTACTGTGTGTATTGCTGTTTACCTTCACTATGGAATACTGTAATCTTTTCTGAGTCAGCTTGTCTTTCAAGTATTTCTTTATTGCCATATATGTTTTGAAGTTTGGAGTATTTCTTCTACTTTATTATTTTAATTATTTTCCAAAGGTCTCTTAAATACTCAGCCTAATCATGAATATCTAGTAATTTATAACTTTAATAAACTATTCATTTTACATATATAATTTATAATTATTTTTTAATATTTTACAGAATGTTGTTCCAGCTGAGGTGTCCCTTGTTTGTGTGGTAAAGCCAGATGAATTCTGGGATAAGAAAGTAACACATTTTTGCTTTTGGAAAGAAAAGGATAGACTTGGCTTTGAGGTAAATATAGAAGTGTGTTTTATCTTTAAAAATAGCGCTTTGGTGGTATTGTTTTGTTTGTGCAGCTTTGGATACTATGCAGTGCTTAAGTAATGCTTCCTCAGTGCCTAAGCAATGATCAGTAAGTATATAGTCATCATTCAGATACTTGTTGAATGAATTATGATGCTTTGTCAAAGACAACAAATGCTTTCTTATTTCCATTTATATCACTCTTTGTTAACTCATTTGAATAAGTAGAAACTTTTTAGTCAAAAACTTTTTAGTCAAAAAGAATTACCACAGGACATGTAAGTCATGCTAGGAAATCATAGACATTTTGTAATTGAGGGCAGCACATATTTTATATGATATGCCAATTTTTATTATTTTTTAGTGTCTGGTTTGGTTTTGATACATGAACACAATTATCCATCTTTCCTATTGACATTTCTCTCTCCCTCTCACTTTCCCTGCATGAAAATACACCTTATTTTAGATCAGGAATAAGTCCAAAGATGAAATATAAATTTAAACAATACTGATATATTTTTCCTTTCACAACCTGTTAATCCCAGCTTCCTAGTAGGAGAGTTGATAGATACTAAACTTTACACCAGTTAAATAAAATATGGGAGCTTTGCAAGATGTATAAAGTCCAATCTTTACCTATAGAATATAGAGCCTTCAATGCTTTTACAAGCCAGACAATTAAGACTCATTATGGACCTTGCTACACATGTTTATTTTTAATAAAGTCAGTGTCAATGTATTTTTGGTCTGGAGGACAGATTGCCAAAGTGTCTGAGAAAGATTTCAGAAAGCCTGGTTAGTTCTTAAATGAGGTAGCTTTGAAATGTTTTAAAATGAGTGATTTTTTTCTTCACTAAAAGAAAATATTAGGTTATAATTTATTTGCAACAAAATTTATCTATTTTAGTGTATAGTTTTGAGAGTTTTGACAAACACAAACACAAGCAGGTATGTAATCACATCACAATCAGGAAAACAAGGAAATATGTCATCATGCCAAAAATTTCCATCACGCTTCTTTGTAGTCAACTACTTCTTCCATCTCTGGTCCCAGACAACTAGGGAACTGTTTTCTGTCCCTATAGTTTTGCCTTTTCTAGAATGTCATGGAAATGGAATGATACATTATGTAACATTTTTTCACATGCGCATTTGCACTTGAGATTCATCCATGTTGTATGTATTGATAGTTCTTATTACTGAGTTACAGTAATCCATCATGAAGGTGTACCACAGTCTGTGTATCCATTCCACAAGTTGTGTTCAGTTATTAGTGATTATAATAAAGTACTATAAACATTCATTATAGGCTTTTATATGAAGTTTTTATCTTGAGGGGTAAAATACTAAGGAATTAGATTGGTGGGTCATTTGGTAAGTATTGATATATATTTAACTTTATAAAACACTTCCAAAGTAGAATTTGAAAGCAGCTATATAATTTTGCATTCTCACCAGCAAAGTATGAAATTTCCATTCTTGCTAGCACTTGGTATTGTCAGTTTTTGTTTGTTGAAATTATAGTTATCCTAGTGGGTGTGTAGAGGTGTATCATTTTGGTTTTAACTTGTATCTCTCTAATGACTAATGATACAAGTTCATTTTCAAATGTTTATATGCCATTATTTATCTTCTTTGATGGTAAACATTTTTGCCCATTTATTTAAAAAAAATAAACAAGGCCTTTGTTTTCTTGCTATTAAAATATGAAAGTTCTATATGAATTTGGTTAGAGGTCTTTTATGAGCTGTGTAATTTGCAAATGTTATGTCTCTGTCATTTGCCTTGCAAGATCTTAACAGCATGTTTCAAGAAGTTTTTAACTTTAATGAAGTGCAGCTTTAAAAAAAATTTTTTTTTATGAACAAGGCTTTTTGTGCTATAGCTGAGAAATTTTCGCCTAACCTAAGGTCACAAAGATTTCTCTTAGCCCTAGCTGGTGTGGTTCACTGGATAGAGTATTGGCCTGCTGACTAAAAGGGTCCCCAGGTTTGATTGCTGTCAAGGGTACATGCTTGGGTTGCGGGCTTGACCCCCAGTAGGGGGCTTGTAGGAAGCAGCCAATCAATGATTCTCTGTCTTCCCTTTTTTCTCTGAAGTTAATAAAAATACCTTTAAAAAATTTATGTATTTTAGGTTTTATATTTAGATCTATGATCCATTTGAGTTAATAGTTGTCTTTCTTTTTTTTTTTTAAATATATTTTATTGATTTTTTACAGAGAGGAAGGGAGAGAGATAGAGAGCTAGAAACGTCGCTGAGAGAGAAACATCGACCAGCTGCCTCTTGCACACCCCTTTCTGGGTATGTGCTCGCAACCAATGTACATGCCCATGACCGGAATCGAACCCGGGACCTTTCAGTCCGCAGACCGACGCTCTACCACTGAGCCAAACCGGCTTTGGCAATAGTTGTGTCTTTTTATTACTGCAGCTGATCCTGTTCTTTTTCTGAGGCCATACTAATGTTGGACCCAGGATCAAAGATTGTCTTTATGTTCCTCTGTTTATTCTTCTTTCCAGTTTTTGTAAAAAATTATTTTCCCTTAGAAAAATATTCTACAGCAAACAAATGCAAGCAAACATGCACCTTGAGATAGTAGTATATGTATAAATACACATACACATGAGTATGTACTAAGCACGCAAAGACTTAGCAAGACACATTTTAATTCCAAATCTTACACATATATTCTTAGCATAAATAAACTAAAACGTAAAACATCTGAGTGCTTGGAGAGTAACAAGTTCAGTGTTAGGTTCTTTAAGAATATTTTATTAGGAAAGGATATGTGTTCTAGTTACAGAAGAGTGGGAGAGACAAGTTTTAAGTCTTTTCTATAAATTTGATTTCAGATTAAAGAAAACCACAAAAGTTTTGGTTAAAGATAACATGTTAAATATTTTTCAAACTTTTGAACAATGGCATGTGCTATTTAATAAACTATTATGCTTATATTCATTTAATTTGTCTTAACCTCTCAACATAAAATAAAGGAAAAAGTATATGTCATAAAAGAAAGTGAATCTATACTATTTACATTTAAGTTAATTTTAGGAAAATGAGTTTTAAAGGAAATATTCAGATGCAAATAAACCTTTGCCACAAATAACTGAGTAACTGCAGATTTTTCCTTTGGCTTATTAAACTTGGAATCTGTTGCCAATAGTTTTATGGATTTAGGTACTGCAAAATATAAAAAGGTGTGTGTGTGTGTGTGTGTGTGTGTGTGTGTGTGTGTGTGTGTGTGTATGTGTGTTTAGTGAGATTAATCAGTGGATGGAAAGTGACAAGTGCTCTTCATTGGGCAAGAACAGGTCATATATTAGAAACAGTGGTCCAAATTAAGTGTATGGGATGACAGCTGATCAGAATTATGTTCTCTTAGAGCTTAAAGAGACATCATTAAGAACTTAATGTAGCTTCTTTGACAGATTGGGGAAATAAGCCAGGAGTGAATTCCTTTAGGTTGACTTCTGCAGGGTGAGTTTGTGTGAGAGCTAGGGTATAAACCAGGAATGATTGGCTCCTAGCTTAGGATCCTTCTAGTTATTATTTAATGGTGTTTAACTTAAAAAAGAAATTTGGAAATTGGGAGTATTCTAGTAAAGCCTTTGGCTCTCTGCACTATTATGACCAGAGGAGCAACAACATGTAGATTTATTTAGAGTATTGTCAACAAAGACTTTAGAAACAAACGAGAAATCTTTAATCCACTTTATGAAAGTGTTGTACAGCTGTCTCTGGATTATTGGAGAAACAACAATAAAATAAAGCTATTTCCTTATAGAACCTTATTTATTTTTATATTTCCAACATTAAAATATATAACATCAAATAAATAATACTTTTAATAAATAAATTTAATTTCCATTAGATAATGATTATTTAGCAAATAAATAGCACATCATTAAAAGCTGTTATAATATGAGGGACATGATAGACAGGTTTTTAAAAAAAGATATTTCAGTGTTTTAAATAGAATATTGGGCCAAATAAGGTACAGTTGTAGAGCAGAAAGACCATTTATTATATTTCCCATTCACTGTATTTTCTGTTCAGTCTTTGATTTTTTTTTTTTTTAGGAGTGTTTTGGAAATGTCATCTTTTCAGATGTGAATTGATGGTCATTTTAGCAGGTAGTTCATTTCCTTATCGAATAAATAAATTGTTAGTATATGCTTAGTTAATAAATAGACATTTTTAGAGAAAAGAGAAGCTCCCCTGGGATCTGACTGTGTTTAATCTTTCTAGAGTGGAAGTGTCTGCCTGGATCCCAAAAGGAGTTCGAGGCAGCATATTTGGTTTCTGTGGCTTAACTCCACTTATTGTTGAATGTTTAACTTCATGTTTGCCTCTAAGAGCTAGTCTAAGGAAGCTGCATTGGAGCTAAGCCCTCTGTGACAAGCACTTCTCTGTGTTTCTTTTATTCTATTGTTTATTTTAAATTAGCTCCCCTTGGTACCTAAATAGTAAAATATGCTAAGCTCCTTATCCTGGAGATAACAGTAAGTTGCTATTTAAAGTACAGATATTATACAGTTTGCTGTCATTAAACTAACAAAAAATGTAATTAATGTTTTGTATCTTATTATTTTTATTTTTTTTAATGAAAAAAGAATCACATGAACTCTCAACTTGCTTGTCATCACACCTCCCTATTTTCCTTGCTCTCCCTCTAACCCCCTTGTTTGCTGCCTCTGAAGAGGTACTGTTTCCCCAGGCTGAGGTTGAGATCTCATCTTGTTTCTTCTATAAGTTATTTCCTTCTTTTCTGTTTTTAGTTTTTTAATATGGCATTTGGTACATATCAATACTATTTAAAAATGTATATAAGAATCTTAATAATAAAACAAACACTTGAGTACCTACCACATAATCTAAGAACTCAAATATCTAAAATTTAAAATAAATCTGAGTGCCCCTCTCTGATCCCATTCACCTATCCCCATCCCTGAACACCTAAATTATTTGTGTTTTTTTCATCTTCTGTTTAGGTTTTCTTTCTGTATGTGTGTATTAAAAACATAAATGTGAAAGAAAATCTTTAGAAGAAAGTAGAGAATGTTTATCTTTTATATTTATATTTAGAGAGTTATTCTAAAAATAATATGTTTAGTATTATTTTTTTTTGAGTTTTATAAATAGGGTATCATGATTTTAGTCTTGACTGACTTGCTTTTTCTCACTCTTCATTGCCTAAGAGTCATGCATATTCTTGCAGTAGATGCAGTTGATGCATGCTCACTGCTGAATGTGTTTCCATTGGGTGAATAAAAAACAATATACTTGTTCTGTAGATGGGTATTTGGTTTGTTTCCATTCTTTCACCATTATAAATGATGCTCTATAAACATACGCAGGTATATGTCTCCTGATAAACATGTATAAAGTTTTTGTTTGCAGAATATCCAGGCATAGGTTATAGAAATGTTTACAATTTCAAGATAATGCCAAATTGTTTTTCCAAAGAGGCATTTTAATTTGTATATCCACTTGTGATGTCTAAGAGTTTCTGCTGCTCTATGCCTTGTTACCACTTGATATTGGCTAATGAAAATATTTAAATCATACGGTCTTTTCTCAAGTTATCCTTGGGTATCTGTGAGTTTAGTCTCAAAATAAGTTGAGAGTTTTCTTTTATTTTTATTATCTGAAAGCATTTAATTAAGAAATGGCCTGTTCTTTGAGTTTTTTAAAATTTAAATGAAGTTTCTTAGACTGAAGCTAAGCAAGTAGCTTATAGGTCATCAGGACAAATGTGCTGATTTTACAGGAGGAGACCACTGAGGGAGGCTTCCAGACTTCACAGGACTTAACTAGAAATCTCAGGGCTAGTACAGAGCCAGGCCAGAATTGAAGCTGGTTCGAGGTCTGGTGTACTTGCAGCATCACACACAAACTTTCACAACATAGTTAGTTAATAAAATACTTCTTAGCTACTGAAAATTTATTTGATTTTTAAAACTCACTTGTAAACTGGGTAGGCCTGGTATTTTCTTTCTGGGAAGATTGTTTTAAAAGAAAGATTAACACAAATAATTATTTTCGTTTTTAAATAAATAATGAATTCTCTGTATTCCTACAGCTAGTTTCAACAACGATCGATCCATGGTCCTTCCTGCCTCATCCTTACTCTCAGCCACTTTGCTCAGGGAAAACTGAGGGTATTATAATGAATGAAATTGAAGATATTTCAATTAATTTATAAATAAATCTTTTATTGTGTGTCTCTAAAACATAAAGACTATAAAAACTATAACCCAATACCCATTATCATGCCTTAAAAAAAATCCTTTAATATCTAAGTTTCAAATTTGTCATTATGTTATAAAAAGATTTGGTTCTATACAGAATATTATTTATAATTAAAAAATACATTTTATTGACTTTTTACAGAGAGGAAGAGAGAGGGATAGAGAGTTAGAAACATCGATGAGAGAGAATCATCGATCAGCTGCCTCCTGCACACCCCCCACTGGGGATGCGCCTGTAACCAACTTACATGCCCTTGACCGGTATCGAACTCCGGACCCTTCAGTCCGCAGGCTGACCCTCTATCTACTGAGCCAAACCGGTTTCGGCAAATATTATTTATAATTACTATATTTTGAAATTTATATATAAATTAAGGTATACATTGGTTTATTTGTAACAGGAATTAAACAATGTCCATAAGTTGTGATTGGTTGAGATGCCTTTCCAAGTGGATAAGGTTTTTTAATTTTGTTAATTTCTGATTTGATTGTTGAGTCCTACCTTAATTTCATTGCAGTTTTTTTTTTTTTAAAATGTTCCTAGGCTTTCTTTATGGTGTGATATACAGTCTTTTTTAAAAAATATTTTGTGATTGTCTTAAAGGAATACATAATTCTCTTATTTGTTGTGGGATTCTGTATTTCTCTTTCTATTTTCTTATCATTTTTTTTTTCCCCTTGAAATTAACAGGTTGTTTGTCCTATGGAGCTTTTCATTGCCAGGATTATCTCTGTGGTGTGGTTCACATATTCTTTTGCCTTCTCAAATCTTTGTATTTCCATAAATTGATAGTTGGATTTAGACAATTGATTAGATTCAGAATTCATTTCCTTTTCCAAGGCTGTTCATTGATCATGAGTCTCATAATAGTTATCTTCTTCTTCTTTTTTATTTTTTTTTTTATGTTAGCAACCATTGATGTTCAGTGCCTATTAAAGATTTAAAAAGATGATGTTCTAGTTCTATTATTATTTCTTTATTTACTAGCTAGAATACTTCTATAATGAGAAACTGAACCTCATTTATTATTTACGCAGTGGTATTGTTGCTATATAAAAGGTTAGGTAGTTTTCTCCCTTTATATCCTGATTTTATAAGTATGATCTCATTGAGTTAAACATACTGACATTTTAAAATACCACGTTTATTATTCTTATTGATATGCAAATTATTGTATTCTTGACCAGTGGAAACCTTTTCAGGACTTTTTGGCACAACCCTAGTAGTCTTTGATAACCTCGATATCTGGATGAGACATCCCAAGCTCAGCATGTGTATTTCCAGATCTGGCATTTCTCCAAGCAAGGAGAGTTGATTCTTTCAAGTGGGGAATGGTATTTGGAGACAACATTTGGATGCTAGGAGTGTGTATGTTTACAGAATTAGTCGTCATTTCTAACCTGTCAGTGGACAGAATTAGAAAATTTGTGTATGTAAGTGTATGTTTTTATTTAAGATCAAGTATGTCATGAATTTAAACTGATGTTTCCAATTCAAATTGAAGACCATAAGGGCAATTTTTCTCTCTCACATCTTCCTTCCCAAAAATTCCATTTTGTTAAGGACAACAGGGATCTGTGACCCCTGTTCCTTTTTTTTTTTAGACTAGTTGGTTTCTCTGTGCTCTCTGCCCTCTGAAGAGTTACAGAAAAGCCATAATTTTATAGATTATCTGGCTGAGAATGGTATTCCCTCCAGCTTGACACATTGTTTTTATTTTCTTTTTATCAAGTCTTTTGTGTGTGTGTAAATTTAAATTCATGTCTTAATGTCTTATTTTTACTGCAGTACTACCATTTGACTACCTTTCTTCCATGCATTTTTTTTTATTCATGTGTATATTCACAGAAAGTTTATTTAGCTCTACAGTGGTCTCTTAGATGATTCCATAATTTGTATTTGAAATTTTTTAAAGTTTAGCGTGAAAAGATTACCTTTTTAACATGATTTTCAAGTTTATGAACTCTCTGATTGCTCTACATTTTAGTTCTGATTTTCAAACTAAATATTAGTATATCCCAAGTTTTACTCTACCATTACAGGGACATGTTTTGTTAATATATAATCAAAAGAATGTTAGAGAAACTTTGTATAATTTTTATATTCATCAAGTTTGATTTTTCTTATTAGCTTTTCACAAATTATAATGAAATGATAGACTTGTTAATTCTTTATTACAGAGTATAAGCCAAGAGTACAATAAAGTGTGTAATTTTTGATTGCCAGATTTATTATTCATTTGTGCTTATCATTTTAGTGTGCTTAGCTAAGTTTAAGGCCACATGAAAATTCTTTGCTGAAAATATTATAAAGGAGCTGATTTTTATCACAAAGAAATTATTAATATTGATAAAATTTGAAAATGTTTAAACCAAGCTGCTCTAGTGTCCCTTGCTCTTTTAAAATATGATACTATAAACAGTTAATGATCGCATATTTCTTAGTAATGTCCACAATTTATTGAATTGATTTTAAATGTTGTTGTATTAAATAATTGATATATCATGTTGGAAACAATATTGCATAGTTTATCCTAATTTTACTTCCTCATTATTTTCATGGCCATAAAAAGTGGCTTACTAAATGTTTCTTTTCTTTTTACTTTTATAGGTTATTTTAGTGTCTGCTAATAAGTTGACTCGTTATATAGAACCATGTCAGTTAACGGAAGATTTTGGTGGAAGTCTCACTTACGATCACATGGACTGGTTAAATAAGAGGCTGGTTGGTATATTACAATGAGATAAAATATTAATACATGTAAATAAGATATATTTTGAATAACTTCACTGTTTTCATCAACTAAAGTATAATTAATTAAAATGTAGATTGTTTTCCCTTTTATAAAAATGAAGAAATATAATGTATTTCACATGATAGTATAGTATTTGAAGGCAAATACTTTGGAATCAGATTCACAAACGTTAGCTATTATTGTTGTCATTGGTAGCAGTATTGCTAGTTAAAGTTGTAAATCTTCTAGGTAGAACAGAAGTAGCATAATTTCTTGGGAAGTAATCTAGTTATATACCTTTCTCAGAGAAAATATTTAAACATCAATTTGAATTGGAGAGCAATTTGACAAGTTGTGGTCTATGATTCTGAAAATGTATTTTCTTTGCCAGATTTCTGAAATCTGGTACTCTGTGTAATATAGCATTATTTAACCAAACTGGGGGGGACTAAAATAATAAATATATTAACTCTGTTTAGATTATATGCTAATTTTATTAAAAATAATGAACTTTTGGATATTTTGGAATGGAAAACCAATTCTATTTCCATCATATTTAAACAATGTTTTCAGACAAGTCTACTTTATGTTAACTGGACTTGCCCAAATCCCTTTTAAGAAATATTTTAAGAACTCATGTTAAAATTGTAACTAGTTTATTTTTATGCTGAATGCTTGTATGTAAAATTCTTTAACCATTACATGCAACCAGTATGGATTGATAACAGAATAACAAAGAAATGTTCCATAACTGGAAGTAGAGAATTAAAACTTTTCTAAATAATATTCATGCAGTTAAAGCTATTATGGATGCAGATGTTTCTCAAGGAAATGTAGGAATACAGATAAACTTGCTGATTGAAGAATGAAAATAATTTCTTAATGTATTTAAGTTTTAAGAATTTCTTATCCATTAAAACTATTCATTTTTTTAGGGAGTGGTTGAGTCTTCTCTCCTGTACACTGTTGTGCTCTGATGGTTGAATTGTACTACCTGACATCCAGAGGGGGAAGGAGAAACCTTTCTGGCTAATTCTCTTGCTCTTAACTGAAAATCCGTTAGTACATACTAACTTTTAATTAGAACAATACTAACATATTATTCTTAATATGTTAATAACATTTCATATTGTAGGTTTTTGAGAAGTTTACAAAGGAATCTACATCATTATTAGATGAACTTGCTTTGATTAACAATGGAAGTGATAAAGGAAATCAAGAGAAAGAAAGGTAGGTGGCCAGAGTCATGAAATTATACCCTTGCAAAGCTATGATTAGCCTGATAAATGAAACTGTATTGTCAATGCAAGCTAAAAGAACTAAGGTAAGCAAGTCTCCATTCAATAAAAGTTGCATACAAAAGTTGAAATAAGTTTATTTTTTTTTTAATTTTTGAGAAATTGCTTTATATGCAAATTTTACTGATTTGAATAAAAGTTTCTTTAAAAAAGATTTTATTTGATGAATAGTAACAGTTTTACTTTTTTCTGACACAGTGTAAAATATTCATTGGCAAGGAAATGTTTTCCAAATGAAACAATTTTTTACCTTTTTAGAATTCTACTTTGCTTATAAAGAATATGGAAAAGGTTGCAGCTTGAAATAAATGTAATGTGACCTTATTTAAAAACATTAGCACTTACATGCCTGGCTTATAGAACTCCCGTAACCTTATAAAGTATGTGATACTCATGAGTTCAACTTGGAGAATTTAGTATTTTATGACAGTAGATAAAGTAATTGTTCAGTTGTATTATCTAAATGTATTACTTAGATAAATCATTTTAATGGGTTTCCATTGAGCTTGGAAACCTTCGCAGTTTTCATTTTTCTGTTGGTAGACCAAGTCACTCTCCCAAGGAAAAAGCATTTCAGGATGCAAATGAACTCTTTCTGATCTCTCAATAACAAAGTGGTCACTAGAACAGTAATTTTTCATTAGGAAATTTGAAAGAATCAGTACTCTGTCTCTTTTGAATCTAGCCTTACAAATACAATAGAACCTATAAAAAATCATCTTGATATTCTGTGAATTCAAATATAGTTACATACCAATCAACTGAAATGATAAGAGGGATATGAGAGGGTCATTGTATAACACCAATTCTTAATTAAAACAAAGTAAAAATGTGAAAACAAATGGTTTGAATGTAAATGTCATTAAGGTTAAACATTTAGGAACATTACTATCCTATTGGTGCATAATAGAAATGTAAAATGTAAATATGTGTCTGTATATTTATGCTATGGCTCAGGTATTGAAAACCTCACACAAGTTATTTGATAAAAATTAGCCAAACTTCTATCTCTCAATAGTATAGCAGAGTAAGTTTGATGTTTCTTAAAGTCCTGTGTCTCAGCATGCTAAAAGAGTGCCTATAGAAATGAGTTTATAGTCAGAATGTTTAATGCTGAGAAAGCATTGCAGTAAAAACAAAAATAAAGTGTTTGTTTCTCTTGAACTTCTTGTGTTTATGTTCAAGTGTCACCCTTTTTCCCCCATCTAATAATATCTTGTTCAATTTGGAAATTATTTTGGAAATGTTGGTTCGCATGAATATATAAATGTGTTATATAAATCTAGAGGGCCAGTGCATGGCATTTGTGCACTGAGGGAGGGGGCAGTCCCTCACCCAGCCTGCGCCCTCTCACAGTCCAGGAGTCCTCGGGGGATGTCCACTTGCCGGTTTAGCTAGACACCCCCCAAGGGGTCCTTAGCACTGCTGCTGAAGCGGGAGAGGCTCCTGCCACCGCTGTTAAACTCACCAGCCATGAGCCTGGCTTCTGGCTGAGCAGCACTCCCCCTGTGGGCATTGAGCATCTGTCCCCTGGTGGTCAGTGCGCATCATAGAGACCGGTCATTTGGCCATTCGGTCTATTTCCATATTAGGGTTTTATTATATAGGATGTTATATTTGTCAGTCTCTCCTAAAGGAACTCAAAGTGTATTGCTTAGTCACTAAAATCCCAGATAGTAAAGTCCTCCCCTTGCAAATTTTTATCACCTTTATGTCAGCCCTCAGAAAGTATTGAGGCCAAACAAGGTCCAAATGCCTAGATCAGTGGACCAAAGAGAGAGATTTAGAGCAAGACTTCCTGGTTACAGCAGCAGGGTCCTAGGCTTTGCTTTGTCATTATACAATCTTTCACTTATCTTCTACTTCCCAAATGTGTTTAATAAAGTCCATAGTCCAACTCATGAAGCATAATTAGTACAGGGAAGAGAGTACAATTGCAAGGGACACACACACACACCCACAAATATGAGAATATTTGCAGTTCTCCGAGGTTGCTGTGGGTAAGTAAACTTTTGATTGTTGGCAGATGACTACATGGGTTTTTTAATGTTAACATTTCTGGGTTATTACATAATTAGCAATTTCATTTTGAGACAAAAATCCAGTGAAAACTACTAAAATGGATTTCTTTGATATATTTGAAATAACATCATAATCCTATATAATAAAAGGCTAATATGTAAATCAACCGAATGGTGGAATGACCAGTTGCTATGACACACACTGACCACCAGGGGCAGATGCTCAATGCAGGAGCTGCCCCTTGGTGGTAAGTGCGCTCCCACAGGGGGAGCGCCACTTAGCCAGAAGCTGGGCTCATGGCTGCGGCAGTGGCAGGAGCCTCTCCCACCTCCGCTGCAGTGTTAAGGATGTCCGACTGACAGCTTAGGCTTGCCCCTCTAAGCCAGAAGTTGGACATCTCCCAAGGGCTCTGGACTGCGAGAGGGCACAGGCTGGGCTGAGGGACCCCCCTCAAGTCCATGAATTTTGTGCACCAGGCCTCTAGTTAATAATAATAAACTATTTTTCTCAGTAGTATATTTTGTGATTTATCACATAGATATTTTTGTGGGGATGAGTATTTAGTTAACTAATGGGTTTCCTAATGCTTTAGAGAAGTAATGTAGAACAGTATTCCTTAGATTTTCATACTTTAGCTGTTCCTGTTTTTATATGTATATATATGAAGGATTTTCTTTAAATATATGGGTAGAAATACAGCTTAAAAAAAAAATTACTCTTTTTGTGCTTGCCAGGTCTGTGGATTTAAATTTCCTTCCATCAGTTGATCCTGAAACAGTTCTTCAGACAGGTAAGATGAAAAAACATACTGATCAATAATCATAATCTAATAAGCTAATCATATATTGATTGAGTCATGAAATAAACATTGGTTAAGCATATGTAGCTGGTCCTTGAATAACATAATTTTGTTATAATGTTAGGAGATGCTGTAGGAACCTAGCTCTTATTTATGTCAATTAACCTATGGTAAAATTGGTTTGTTATATAGTGTTTTGATTAAGTTGGAGAACTATTGATGATTTAAGTGATGAATTACTCTGTATTATGTGATAGAAACTTACGGGGAAATTTTTCAAACTGATAATTTGATTTAACCGAGCTGTTAATGTACTCCATAATATTGAAAGTATTAATAAAAATAAATTGTTAAATTATCTCTCCCTTGAAATACTTGGGTTTATTTTCTTATCTGTAAAGTGGAGATAAAAATTTCTATGGGGTTGCTATGAGGATTATTAAAAACTTACTCTAACACTGTAATTATTTGTGTGTGTGTGTGTGTGTGTGTGTGTGTGTTTTATCCCTTGAGATAATTAGGATTATTTTCTCTATTTTGTACTTAAGGAAGACAAGGCTTAGGGATATTAAAAAAACTTGCTCAAGATCAAGTAACTATTAAGCTTTATTACCATAGCACTAAAAATAGGACTAAATCCAATGCCACTGGCTATACTGTTTTAAAGTCATCTACGTAAAAACACTTGGCACCTTGTAATGGTCTTGAATATAGTGTGTATTCATTATATGTAAATTCTGTATATGTACTGTATATGTAAATTCATAAAAGCTATTATCAGAATATATTTATCTTTTTACTTTGACAATTCCCTTAATGTTTTCCATTTCTGTTAGAGAAGCAGCACCACTTAATGATTTCAAAGGCAATACTTGGAAACCAAACTGCTCAAGTCTCAACTCTAATCTTACTAAATGTATAACCTACATAAGTTACTTAACTTTTTCATGCCTCAGTTTCCCATCTTAACATTGGGATGATAACAGTACCTACACTTGACTGGGTGTGTGTGGTAAAGGATAAATAAGATAACATGTAAAGTGCTATGAGAACAGTGCTTTTTAAAAATATATATATGTATTTTATTGATATTTCACAGAGAGGAAGGGAGAGAGATAGCTAGAAACGTCAATGAGAGAGAAACATCGACCAGCTGCCTCTTGCACACCCCCCCACCGGGGATGCGCCTGCAACCAATGTACATGCCCTTGACCGGAATCGAACCTGGGACCCTTCAGTCCACAGACTGACGCTCTACCACTGAGCCAAACCGGTTTGGGTGAGAACAGTGCCTTTTTACAAGGCAGAATTAGAATTATGATCTATAATTAGAAAATACATTAGGAATAAAATCAAGGTATTATTATTTAAAAGAACTTCAGTGTGTTCTAGAATCTGTGAAACAATTAGAGATAAATTTAGGCTGGAATACAGCATTGCTTTAGATTTGAAACAATTCCTTGTTTATGTGCCACTAAGTGCTGTTTACTCTTAAAACAGGGAGAGTATAAAATAGAGAAGTTTGGAACAGTCTTGGATATTTTTTTTAGAAATTGTGAATACCTCCAAATTAGAAGTTTTGTTTCTATATATTAAAAGCCATTTAAATTTAGAACATGTTCCTGAATAAAGGTGAAAACAAAAGAATTTAAATATCTGCATTTTTTTGACCACTAAATAATAGTTGAAATACCGTGTTTCCCCGAAAATAAGACATCCTCCGAAAATAAGACCTAGCGCATGGAAAGATAAGACATCCCCTGAAAATAAGACCTAGCGTAACTTTGGGAGAAAAATTTAATATAAGACACTGTCTTATTTTCGGGGAAGCAGGGTAGTAGTACCCTGGAAAAACAATTTGTTAATTTATTTACCTTTGAAATTGTTAGGATACTTACAGCTTTATACATTGCATATTCTGTATTTCTAATTTCTCAGGAATGAGCAGATTTTCTTTATTAGATTGCAGTAATTGAATAACGTTGGATATTCTTTGGCTTCTCATGATTCCCACTAATATATTGTGGGGAATCCCATAAATAAACGTTGTTTATATATTATTTTCTACCAATAATAAGGACTAGCTACCTTTATTGCAATCATACATTTGTTACAGCATCAACTTTTCTTTTAGGAGCTATAATTAAGGGTATAGATTAATACTAAAATCATACAACATAGTGCTTAGTATTGATTAGTACCATCAGACAGAAATTCCAGAGTGTAATTGTACTCACAGGAAAAGAGGATTGGTTAGTACAGTATTCTGAGCAATGAATCCACCAATAAGATGAATATGATAAATATAGATTAAATATATAAATATACCATAAAATTACTATACAGTATTGCATATTTAGGATATATATTCATGATATATGAAATAATATATAAATATACTATGTTGTATATAGGTACATATATGCAGTTTTCTATTTCTATATAAATTTTAAAATTACATGTGAGTACTTAAAACCTGGTAGGTAGATAGACATAAGGTAGATGGCTCTAAAAATATGGGACTAGAATTGAGAGAATTGTATTTCTTTATGGTATTAATTATAAGTATCTTTTATCCATAAAGGGCATGAATTGTTATCCGAACTGCAGCAGCGTCGGTTTAATGGCTCAGATGGAGGAGTGTCATGGTCTCCTATGGATGATGAACTGCTTGCACAGCCACAGGTTATGAAGTTATTAGATTCCCTGAGAGAGCAATATACCCGCTACCAGGAAGTTTGTAGACAACGTAGTAAGCGTACACAATTGGAAGAGATTCAACAGAAGGTGATGCAGGTAGGTGTCTGATTTGAATATATTTAACTCTTTATTTATCAGTGTTGTATTTTTTAAAAATAATTTCTACTCTGTGACTGATTTTATGCCAGGCATTATTATACTGTATGGAGAACCTTAGACATCAAATCAAACTTAGCTTTCAAATTATGTATATTTTGCTGAAACTGGTTTGGCTCAGTGGATAGTGCATCAGCCTGCGGATTGAAGGGTCCCAGGTTCGATTCCAGTCAAGGGCATGTACCCTGGTTGTAGGCACATCCCCAGTGAGGGGTGTGCGGGAGGCAGCTGATTGATGTCTCTTTCTCATCGATGTTTCTAACTCTCTATCCCTCTCTTCCTCTCTGTAAAAAATCAATAAAATATATATATTTTAAAAATAATGTATATTTTTACAAATAGTATTTATATTAAGAATATATTTTTTCTACAGTGATGGCATTGAGCATTCAGTTCATGCTATCAAAATGAACTTCAAAAATAACTAGGTGGAAACATCTGTTGTCTCTGCATTCTTCTAATAATCTAGAGGCCCGGTGCATGAAATTTGTGCGCGCGCGTCTGTGCGTGTCCCTCAGCTCAGCCTGCAACCTCTCCAATCTGGGACCCCTCAAGGGATGTCCAACTGCCCGTTGAGGCCCGATCCCCCCTGGCAGTCGGACATCTCTCTCACAATCCAGGACTGCTGGCTCCAAACTGCTCGCCTGCCTGCCTGCCTGATTGCCCCTCATCGCCTCTGCCTGCCAGCCTGATCATCCCCTAACTGCTCCCCTACTAGCCCGATTGCCCTAACTACCCTCCCCTGCAGGACTGGTCGTCCCTATCTGTCCTCCCCTGCCAGCCTGGTCACCCCTACCTGTCCTCCCCTGCAGGCTTGGTTGCCCCCAACTGCCCTCCCCTGCAGGCCTGGCTGCCCCTAACTGCCCTCCCCTACAGGTCATCGCCCCCAACTGCCCTCCCCTGCTGGCCCAGTCACACCTAACTTCCCTCCTTTGGCAGCCTGGTTGCCCTAACTGCCCTCCCCTGTCGGCGTGATTGCCCCTAACAGCCCTCCCCTGCCAGCCTGGTTACCCCCATCTGCCCTCTCCTGCCAGCCTGGTCAACCCTAACTGCCCTTTCCTACTGGCTTGATTGCCCCTAACTCCTCTCCCCTGCAGGCCTGGTCCTCCCCAACTGCCTTCCCATGCAGGCTTCGTCTCTCCCAACTACCCTTCCCTGCTGGACTGATTGCCCACAACTGCCCTCCCCTGCCAGCCATCTTATGGTGGCCATCTTGTGTCCACATGGGGTGGTGATCTTTGACCACATGGGGGCAGCCATCTTGTGTTGGAGTGACAGTCAATTTACATATTACATCTTCATTAGATAGGATAACATATTATTGATATTTGATTTCTTTTTAATAATTTGTTAGTGTTTTGTTAATTTGAGGATTTAGTTTCTCTATCCGAGTGAAGTGATAAAATGTAATATAAACAATTATAATATTAAATTTTATTATATGAAACTGTAGAAATTTTTAAGTGTATTTAATATTTATAACTTTTTAGTTCCTCTTATAATTAAAAAATCATTGCCAAGGAAGACATTTCTGTTAAACTACATTCTGAATTTTCATGTTGAATTATTAAGAGATAAATCTTAAAATATTTTACTTAAACATTCAGATTAGAACTGTTTTTTATTACATTTACTAGGTAATTATTTATGAAGTGCTTATTATATAGGATATAAAGGTACACTTGCCTTCTGCTGTCATTAAACTTAAGGGGATAGAATGTTAAGTGTCACAGGGGCATGACTGATGTGCTATGGGTACGTATAGGAGGGATGATTCCTCTGGTTGCAGGTAATGTAGGAACATTTAGTGGAGTCGGTGGAATTTGAGCTTGTCCTCCAAGCATGTGTGGACATCTTTTAAATCAGGCATCTCCTTTTGGTTTAAAAGAATTTGGCATTTTGTGAAGGATAAAGAACAGCATGAATAAATAATAGCAGCATGAAAGCCCAAGCTTTATTGAAGAAAAAGGAAGCAGTAAAGCACTGTGGGAAATTTTTGGCTTTTGAATCATAGAGCAAAATAGTTCAGAGAGTATATTCTGAATCCCAATTCTTCTATTTTTTTTGGGGGGGGTGTGTGTGATCATGGCTATATTATTTAGCCACCTGAAACTTTTATTTAACTTCCTTTTTTCTTTTTTTCCTTTCTCTATTTTTCTCCCATAGTTTTTTCATTACTGAAACAGGAATAATAAGTCCACTTTTGAAGTGTTTGCTGAAAGAACCCAGTACTCGATTAGTGGCAGCTTTTGTATATATTTCCATTGAATTAGACTCTAGTCTAGAAGTACACTTTAGTTGTTGGCATACTTTTCCTGTAAAAGGCGGAAGATTTATGTGATCTGAAGAGAAACCAGAGCATCATACTTTTTCTGTAAAAGGCCAAATAGTGAATGTTTTGGCTTTGTTATGGCTATGTAACCTGCCCTTGTAATCCATAAGCATTATGAAAATGAATGTGTTTGTCTGTGCTCCAGTGATGTTTTATTTACAAAAACAGTGGTAGGCCACAATTGGAAGGTAGTTGTTGACCTCTGACCAGATTATCAGGATGTCATGGGTACAAAGCTTGAAATGAAGGAAGGAGCTGGGTCATGGAAGATCTTGAATTCTAGGCGAAAAGATTTAGGTTTCATTTCATGATAACCAAACCAAAGATTGCTGAACATAAGTTAATTATACTATTATATAACTTTTTCTGTGTAATATTATATATTTGTAAGTTAAAGATGTATTAAATCCAGTTAAAATTAGCCAAGTAGCTTGAGAGTACCATAGTCCCCTATGTCTGTGAGGGGTATAATATTAAGACCTCCATTGGATCTCTGAAATCATGAAGAATACCTAAATCTGTATATGCTATGTTTTTTCTCTATATGTACATATATTTTCACTTAAAGGAACACTTTATGGCTTCTTTTTGGCCTATCTAAATAGTCAGCACTACTAATCTTGCAATTTTTGGCCACTGTTAAGTAAAATAAGGGCTACTTGGACACAGCACTGTGATACTGTGATAGCCTGATAACTGAGAAGAAGGCTAAGTGATTAATGATAGATAGCATATCTAGTATGGATATGTTGAAAAAAGGAGTGATTCACTTCCTGACTGGAACAGTACAGATTTTATCACGCTACTCAGAACAGCATGCACTTTAAGCTTATGAATTGTTTATTTCTGAAATGATTTCATTTAAATGATGGGGCTACATTAAGGGGTTATCTTGGAATACTGTAATGATGGAATAACAGTGGCATACAAGTCCCCCAGGTAATCTGGGTTCACCCTTTCCTACTACTTTCAAGTTGGGAATGAACTGTTACCACTCAATGCTGTAGCTTCCTTCTTAGTAAACTGAGCATAACAATAATAGTAATAATATGACCCACTTATTGTAGTACAGTGTCACAAGGATTAAAGAAGTTAATTGTAATAATAAAATGTGTAGTGTTTGGCACATAATGAGTTTTCTATTAATATTAATTATTTGCTCACTCATTCAAATGTGGATGTTTATATTAATATTAGTGTGACACTGTGGTGGTGGAATACAATGGTGAGTAAAATAGACAAAGATCCCACCTTTACAGAGCCTAATCCTATATAATAAGAGCATAATATGCGAATCAACAGTTATCATGATGCACACGGACCACTAGGAAGCAGACGCTCAATGCAGGAGCTGCTCCCTGGTGGTCAGTGCAGACCCCCTTCCCCTAGTACATGAATCTCTTGCACCAGGCCTCTAGTTAGATAATAACACGAACAGTTGTAAAATTGCAACTATAAAGGAGAGTGGTGGGAGTAAGGGTAAGAAAGAACATATCAAAGATGAATCATTTTTATGGCTTGCAAAACTTAATGGATGGTAGTGGTGTCCAATTATGTTTGGATTTAAGTGTAGGTGGAAAAGGGTCTAGAGAATCACGATATTGGGTTTAGATATGTTAAATTTGAGGTGACTTTGAGACATCTAAGCAAAATGTAGAAGGGTATTCCTAAACAGATCCAGAAATCAGAAAAGTTTGGGCTGGTGACATATTTGTTTGTTATTTGTATATGAATGATAATCAAAGGCAAGGATATGGATGAGAATTGCCCAAGTAAAGAGCTGAGAGAACATGAGAAGTGGGCTTGTTAACTAAGCTAAGAGAAACTCCAGCATGCAATGAGAAGGCAATAAATGATTGGCCAGAGATAAAGAAGAGAAGGGTGAAGAGGAAGCCAAGAGAAAGCACTTCAGGAAAGTATTTGGGAACCTTGACAAACGCTGCTGAAAGACTGAAAAAGAGTGAGACTTCACATGTTGGTTAGAATGTACAAGACGGAGATAATTGGTGAACACAGGGCATGAATGGCACGGCCAGAAGCATATTGATATGAACTCAGGAATGAGCAAGATGTGATGACAGACACTGAGTACAGATGACTCTGGGAATTTTGTGTTTGAAGAAAAGATGAGCAATAGCAGTTCCTTAAGTGGTAGAAAAGAGGTTGCATTAGCTTACGAGGGCTGCTGCAATGAAGTGCTGCATACTGAGCACTTACGAAACAAAAGCATGTTCTCACAGTTCTGGAGGCTAACAGTTCAAGATCCAGGTGTTAGCAGGGTTGCTTCCTTCTGAGGACAGTGAGAGAAGGATCTGTTCTAAGGCTTCCTTGGCTTGTCGATGACCATCTTCTCCCCATAACTTCAAATCATTTCCTCTTTATCTGTGTCCACATTTCCTTTTCTTTTAAGGACACCTGTCATTAGATTACAACTCATCCTAATAACCTCATTTTAACTTAATTGTTTCTTTAACTTAATTGTATCTTTAAATAAATATGGATACATTCTGAATGACTGAGGGTTAGAACCATACAGTTTTTGTTTGTTTGTTTGTTTGTTTGTTTGTTTGTTTGTTTGGAGGGGGAGGGAGGAGGGCACAATTCAGCT